CCCCAAAACCCCAAAACCCCAAAACCCCAAAACCCCAAAACCCCAGCTAACTATAAAAATACTGAAAACTCATTGAAAATGTATCGATATCCCATTTTTATTTCTCAAAATCAGCCAAGTTTGTGTCAAACAGAAAACTTTGAGTTAAAGTTGACTTGAAAATTACCCAAATTCTTTGGAAATTTGGGATTACTTATAATCATGACTGAACACCAGCTGATCCTTCTTCATGTTGGAAATTCTATATGAAAAATCTTTCATCCTTTCTCTTTTCATTTTCTCTTCAGTCCATTGTTTGCTTCCAATATTAGGTCCAAGACCACCAGACTTTGCATATGCATTTTCATTAGGTGTATTCTTCTTATAATCCCGGAGAGTAAAGGGCTTATACCTGAGCTCCTTAGAGCGAGGGGCTCTCCTCCTCTGATTTACAGTGATGTCCTGAGACTTATTAAGCCTACTACTATTCAAATGGGATACCATGCTAATTGAGGTGTCGATGTCATCAATGTCACTATTACTACGATCGATAACCAATATGTCATAGGGCTTGTCCTTCTCTTGCTTAATAGTTGAACTCTTAGCATCAAAATTAAACCCAAAGGGCCTTTGGGTCCTATAAACAGATTAGGATTAATTTTCAAACTTTAGGGTGTAAAATATCTCTGTGAAAGAACTGGTCAAAAAGAGCAAAATTGTACTTACTCATCAAGAAAATCCTTCCTCTGATTTGGGATAGACATAGAATAATTAGAGTAGTGGTTGCCTTTCTGGAACAGACTCTTTTTGATGTCTACCTTGTTCATTAAACACTTATTCCACCTTGGCTTCATTGAGAAATCATTATTCTCCACATCAGTCATGGCATGAGCTGATCCTTCGTTCCTAATAATTGACTTGTAGAGGTTATTTCTCTTATTCTTTCTGTCAGACTCGAACTTAGCCCTTAGCTTATGGACTTGGCTGTTATTTCTCTCTAAAAAATTACAAGAGCGCTCATACCTGACTTAGCAAGGGGAAGATCGTTTGGATAAACTATGTCCTTTGAGCTTGGAATTTTGATACTCCGGAATGAACTGTTAGCGCTATATAGAAAGTTAGTACTGATCGTCAGAAGCTGCAAACATCTATTTAAAAATATAGGTTTATAAATTCCTTACTTATTTATCCCCCAATCTTTTCCTGATGGGAAATTCGCCTCATTAAATTTTGAGCTTCTGTAAGACTGGGAAGGGTCCAAAAATTTCTGAATTGGCTCAGAGGTTCTACCGATCATTTCGTCGACCCCATCCTTTCCTATTAGGGATGTCTTGCCTTTGAATCTTTTCTTAAAGCTCATCTATGAAAATAATGTGAGATAGGATAGATCTAGTGTCTCTCTCGAAGAAAGAAAAACTAAAAGCCAAACTAGGAAAGATTCTGGCCTAATCTCATCTTCTTCTACTTATCTCAATAGTGAAAAATATCTGTTCTAAAGGTCAGGATTATTCTGGTTGATTCCTAGTCCTTACTTATTATATTCCCTACTACCAAATTGGAATAACAAGAAATAAGCAATGGGCTGAGACAAGTGGGAGGTCATGAGTCTCCATTTCACCGGTTCTATTAAGTAACTCTCCTATTAGTCTAGCCCAACAAACTCTAGTAATAATTCCAACATGCCTTAGAGCTATCATATTTATAAACTTTTATAAGGTGATGGGAATTTGTTGCTTCAGCTTGAAAAATTAACATTTAGAAGGTTTTCAGAGAGAATTCGAGCACATGAAAGTAACTGATCACTTAAAAAATGCTTTGGCTGGGATCAAAGAAATCTCACAGTAGGAAGAGCGAAGGATTCCACTTTGTGGTTGACAAAGCGATATTTAGGTGAAAATTAAGATAAACCCTTCAAAAACTCTCACAACTAGCATCTCTTACATTTTAGGAAGCATAGGGAGGAGATATATTATCTAAATTTCATGGTTTTAGCCATTTCTCAAGTCCAACAAGTAAGAAAAGTTAGCCGATCTGTTACCTTTACACTTTGAATTTATTATATTATATCAATTCTTACAAAATATTTGGGGTTTTGGGGTTTTGGGGTTTTGGGGTTTTGGGGTTTTGGGG